TATAGCATTCAATAGCTTTTTTGCATGCTACTTGTATAATAAGGATAATCCAATTTATTCTAACTCTATAAATAGCCTGGTGACATACCCCAAATTTTTGGGCAAAAACAGGTTTCAATGCAAATAGAAAAAGCATGAGGTTTTGTGGAAATTTATCTGTAATTGAGGAAGGTCTCTTGCGTCCTTAAAAACAAGAAATCTGTGAGCCAATGCTCACTAGTAATACCCCCCCCCCCCCCCCCCCCCGCTCTGATGTGAATATACACTCTGATGTGAATATACACAGGTTCATTTACGGACAAACACAGGGACGAACAGGAAGTTGACATCAGATTCATACAAAAATGAATCCCATCATATTGCTTGCCTCAAACAAAGAGTATGAAAAAATTTCATGCATCTGCAATGAGTCTGAGTAAACTGCCATGAAAATTTGTTATGCATGGTCCAGACAGATGCACGGATAAACAGGAAGTTGACATCAGATTCATACAAAAATGAATCCCACCATATGATATGTCTAAACAAAGAGTGTGCTAAAATTTCAAGCATCTGCGATGAGTAGTTGCTGAGAAAACTGCGGCGAAAATTTGCTATGTATGGTATGGACAGACGCACGGATAAACAGGAAGTTGACATCAGATTCGTACAAAAATGAATCCCATTATATGGCATGCCTCAACAAAGAGTGTGCTAAAATTTCAAGCATCTGTGATGAGTAGTTGCTGAGAAAACTGCGACACCCCTCACTTCCACAAAATTAGTGTTTTTCACGTTAGGGAAATGGATTTTAGTTTGCTTTTTTTTTGCTTGTCAAGAAATTTTTCTGTTGCAAATTTTTTATGAATGGGGTAGACCACCCTGGGAAAAAAATCCTGGATCCACGCCTGTTTCCCGGCTGTATTAAAAGTTGCGTGGCACTATTTATAGTACAAAAGCCATGTGAATAATGGAGAAAAATTGGCAATAAAAGCAGCTTAAATATACAAGAAAAAGATAATTTGCCAGTATAGAGAAGACAGAAAAGCAAAAATAACATAAATACATCTAGATACCATCACTGGCATGAGCAAAGTTTTTAATAGGTTGAGGGGAAACGTAAATTCCACTATATAGGGAGATTCCGCTATAATTTCAGCTGTAGTTGTCCTCAATTTCATCAAATAACATACTTGCTGTTTAAAAGGCAAGTTATGATGGGTATAAAAATTGACAATTGGCATCCTTACATCTTATGAATTTTATTTAATTTTCTGCTGATGCGTTTGATAATGCGAACACACTATTTAATGCAGAAGTTGCATTTCTAACATAGAAACCAGTGATTGCGGTAGTATTGAATGAAGACTAACTCTTAATATCTCTCACATATGTGCACAAATTAGTGTTTGTAATAACTTTCAAACCACTACAGAAATAACGACCACTATTGAAATAATTATTTCAATAGTGGTTGAGAATGCATTTGAAACTCAAACACTGGTTGCAACCACTATTGAAATAACATTCACTATTGAAATAATTATTTCAATAGTTGTTGAAAATGCATTTGAAGACCGAACAAAGGTTGCATCCACTATTGAAATAATATTCACTATTGAAACAATTTCAATAGAATAATTATTTCAATAGTAAATATTATTTCAATAGCAGTTTTATACGTGTAACCACTACTGAAGTAACAACCTCTAATGTAACGCTTATACTTAGTTTTTCCGAATGTTTGATCTTAATGTATTGACAAGTAGAAACTTTGAATTTATTATCCATATTTGTAGTGTAGGCAAGCCCATGAATATAAGCAAAAATTTACTTCTATTCTATATTCTTTTGATTAAATATAACCATATTTTCATCAGAACATTTTGTACACATAGATATAAGTCTTCTTTATTCTTTTTAATATTTAAATTCTAATTTCTACAAGTATCTGTATGTATGATCCTTTCCTTTCCAAATCAATGGCAAAGATGAACCTTATATAACAAAATCACTTAAAACTTGCATATTTTGATTGATTGTCTGTTGGTTTTCGCTGAGTCGGCCAGATTCAGCGGAAGCTTGCATATAACAATTGCATATTTTGTTTCAATTTTAGGTAAGTCAGTTAAACCAAAGATGTCCATGAATGGAAATTTCTAGAAAAGAAAGGAAAACATAAAATTACACTTCATATTTTAAAACTCATATTAATTTATAATGCTGGAAAGCGTAATGAACGATTCATTCTTGTATTTTTTTTTTCAATAGTAGGGTTATTTCAATAAGGCTTGCAATGTGGTTATTGTATTGAAATCATTGTCAGCAACTACTGAAATCATACTTACAATACTATTGAAATCATTCTTTCAATCACTATTGAAATCTTTATTTCAGTAGTGAACATTATTTCAATAGTGGTTCCAACCTGTTTTCGTTCTTGAAATGCATTTTCAACCACTATTGAAATAATTATTTCAATAGTGAACATTATTTCAATAGTGGTTCCAACTTGTGTTCGGTCTTGAAATACAATTTCAACCAAGATTAAAATATTTATTTCAATAGTGAACATTATTTCAATAGTGGTTACAATCTGTGTTTGTTTTGAAATGCATACTCAACCATAGTATAATTATTTCAATAGTGGTCGTTTTTAATAGTGGTTGCAACAACCCATGTTGGAATAAGTTTGTCAAATTTACAGAAGAAAAGATGATTTTTGCCCGCAAGGGTATGGAGGTCCATTATGACAAACGAAAAAAAAAAGTTCATTACATGTTCACTTTATTCTGATGAAACCGATTTGTATTGTTTAATTGCAATAAATCGTAAACAATGATGTAAGATGTCATTTCTGCAGGTATAATTATAAACATATTGTATGACATTAGGTTTTGGGAATGTTAAACAAAATTTTGTTAAATATCAATTTTTGTTTTATGAGAACAAATAAGGTTAGATAAAAAAAAGAATTTTTTTTAAAAGTCTATCAAAAAATTATATGTATAAACTATTTTTTGTTGGGAGTATTTGACATACCGTAAGTTTTGGGGTATATGTCGATGGGGTATATAGGTTGAAAGGCTCATTTTCAGCCGTAACTTTTAAAAAATCCTTAGATAGGATGATTTGGAAGATAGGACGAGGCTTTGTTTATCGACTTTCTAGAGATTCTTACATAGAAACTACGTATCAGAACATGTAAAGGTCTTTAACTTAACCTGTGATATTAACGTGTGAAGAAAATAAACTGGTATTTTTATGAGTACAGCATTTTACTAGTGTTTTATACAAACATAGTTCAAACTTCCTTGAATTGTGATATAACGCATTTTCTCCAACTTGCCTGTTCAACGCTGTCGTTGTTTGACTCTGTCATTAAACACATAACTACCGTAGTATACAACAGCTATAATTAGGGAAATACCCGAAATCAAACAATAATCATTTCCAATTTAGAACATTGTGGACACATTCTTTTATTCCGACATTATTTACCGGGGTACAATATTAACTGCAATGATTGCCATTTTTACATTTCTTGTCCAGAGATTCGCTAAAACACGAAAAAGACTATTACATGTAACAGTGAGCAATTGAAATTAATCATATTAACATGCTATAATTTTGCTTGAGATGTTGTTTTAAAAAATAAATTTAATTGAGAGTACATTTGCAATTTAACAGTCATCAGGACTTTCACAGTTTTGTTTGTTCAATGATGTATAGCACTAATACCCCTGTAAAGGCACGTGGATCTGTTAATCATGCCCCGCAGGTGTTAAAACCAACAGGTGTTAACACCTTTGTGTACACAGTGTATATCCCTCTATCTGTCAGACAATAAAATTCTATTAGAAGCCAATCTTTGTATAATTCGGTGTACCCCTTGGGATATAAAACAAAATAGTTATGACTAGCGGTACATTTGGTAAATAATTTATGGAATTTACTGGCAACAATTTATTTCACACATTTTACATTTAAATAAATATCACAAGACAATGAAAAAATATTTAGGTATACTATTTCAATTAATCGTTACAAATAAATGGTAAAAAAAAAAAATTACAATTGCGATTGTGAAAACTCCTCCGTATTTTAAATTTTGATATGGTTGCGGTTTTATTTTTAGTAAACGATTGCAACTTCCAACTTCACAAGATGGACACAGCATGTTGTAAATATACTTTGAGACATTATTGATGATATAATAAGTTTTTTTGATCATTGACGGATATTTAATGGAACTTATTATGTAAGAAATCAATGGAATAAATATTTAATTCTTTATGGTTTATTATTTTTTTTCTCGGTAAAGTAATTTTAAAAAAATACAAAAATGGCACAGATTTGCTTTAAAATTGATGTAAATTTTACTGATTTCTGGGCATTTTTCATAAACTTGGGCCTTAGATAGGTCGATTCATTAAATAGGACGACCCCAGCGGTTCGGAGAAAAAAGTGTCGTCCTATTTTCCAAAAATACGGTAATTTCGCAGAAGAAACATTTGTGCTTAATATTATGATAAAACCACACTAAGAGATTTATCTGTACCTTCTCAGGGGCCAAAATTCGGCCCAGTTCCCAATGGAAAATAGGCTCAATCTTTTCCCAATTTGTTGGAAAAAAATTCCCAAAATAAAGAAGTATTTTTGAAATAAAATCTTGGAGTTGCAACATAGCTAAAACTTTGCCATCTTCTGTAGATAGAGAGAAAGATAGAGAGATGAGTTTAAGTCACCTTATTTCTTTTAATTTACATTAATAAAATCATATTACTTACCTAAATCAATTAGAAGGAAAATGTTATAATTATTTTCTTTTAAAGTCATTTTCTTAAGTAGTTATTGTCAGCCTGAGATCGTATCTGCGAGATATGTTTAAAACGTAAATGCCTTGTCTAACCCCTCGGCTTTTATATTTCAAAACAATATTTCAAGACCCAGGAGGTTATCCTACAACATTCAGGAAAAAATGAACTTTATTTTCTTAAAGCTTAGCTGAAAAAGGATACGGTGTCTTGAGCGCTGAGAGTCCTGCCTGCAGGGTAAGAGTGAACACAGAGGAATTATTCAACTGATGAAGCTTGAAGTTCTCCTCCCGGAATTGATCCACAAGTTCATGCCATCTGCCCTCATCATATAATTCCTGTAATAAAAAGGGTTCTACTACAGTGCTGCTATCTCACAAGTTGACATGGGATGGGTTTGGATAGGATTCAGGATTGAGGATTCACGATAGAAACATATAGTAGTTAATCCAATCCTATCCTATCGAACTTAAACAGATCGATATTGCAGTTGTTTGGTGCAAGAACATGTAAGTATACTACACAATGTACATGTGTGCATGTTTATACATTTCCCCCCTTTAAACAATGTTATAATGACTTGAGCTATCAAAATTTTATTCTATTATAATATAGACAAATATCGGGTGTGGAAAAATAGGTAGTGTAGGAAAGGGAGGGGGTTAAAAATTTATAAATACTCTGTCATGATTCAATGTGTTCTAAAACAGTAAGATGTATTATGCCTTTTTCAGTTTGTTATTACTATATTATTTCCCTACTGTGGTTTAAAAAAAATGTTTTTTTTTATTTGAGTGCAATTATAATAAAATAAATACAGAATCATTTCTTATGCTACTGTTTAAATTGTATTATATTTAAGCCAACTCAGCACTTACATTGTATGCATGATCGACCTATTCTGGGTTATGAATTATAAATTAATCATTCATTATTCTTCATTGCAGAGAATGATCGATACTTGGTTTTGCCTGCCCTCATCAAAATATTTTGTGAGGAAAAAAGGATGCTACATTTAAAAAGTAGGTATAACTAGATGCGTTTCTTGTTGCTAGGGAAACAAGTGGTCTTCCAACCGAACTTTTCTCCAGATCGCTATGCTACCTCACTTCATTTAATACTTTATTGAAGGTATTTTTTGTTTGCGTTTATGTAACACAGTCTTTCAACATAGATCATGATTATTAAAGGATTTCTGTAGAATCTCTGTTAAAAAAGCTTTAAAAAATAAGCAAAAACTATCATACATGTCTTCACACTACTGGGCGAAAAAAGTGCTGAGAATCCCAAAGAGCTAAATCCATGAAGAGGCTAAATCGGCCCAGTCATCAAAATAAATGAAACTTTCTCACATAAAACTCTAAGATTTGTATGTTGTAAAACAATTTATTTTTTAACAATATCTTTTCTGGTTTTCTTTTTACATTCGTTTAAATTTGGTATTGTTTTCCTTATTAATACTATCATGTCATTACGTTGACGTTACATACTTTAACGTCGCGACGTTGACATTTTGTATAAGAAAGTAACATATGTACGTTAATGAAATAAAAATAACCAATATAGGCTCTTCTTTAAAATTTTGGGAAAATTTTACTATGAATTTTTCAAGAAGTTCTGAAAACTTTTGCTTTATTTTCTAATTAAAGCTAATTGCATTCTAAAGAAATGCCAAATATTTGTTATATACAACGGTTGTCTGGTATAATCGTTGATACATGTAACACGTTTTAAATGATAATAAGAGACACGTTAAGCTGACAACAAACACAATGTGTTAATCCATCATATTTGAGTAAAACTGAATTAATGTAGTAAAATATATACTATAGTAGCCAAGCTAGGATAAGGATTTTATCATTCTTAAATGTGTTATTGTATGGTCATACGGCGTACAAACAAAAAATAGACTTTCTTTTTTTTTTTTGAAAATACACAAGTACTCTTTACTAACGAAAACATAAAATTAAAATGAAAAGTTGCATTAAAAATGAATACGTTTGAAGTTATCATCTATTTAATGGTCATTTTGAAAATTTCGTTGCACTTCCGAAAGTTATGGCATTTCCCGGACATTTGAAATGAAATTTTAGTTCATACATGTAATACACGTAAAATAGTGATGTTTGACGGTAATCCTGCGCACCACAGATTGCCAGGAAAGAAGCCACTACAGACTTTTAAACAAGAGTGATGCAAAGCATCAAATCGGTCGCAAAAAAAATTACTAGTCCAAAGAAAACACAAGATTTCCAAAGTATCTGAATTTCAAAACGGAATCTGAAGTTAAAAAAAAACAAGATAAACGGAAATGGTACGTATACCACTTTACCCAATGTAAATTACTTAATCGAAATAAAGTTCACTAATTATTATAAATATGTTAATCATCAAAGAAAAACGTTTTATATACCCACAATAGATATGAAAAGAGATTTCAGATGACAAAAACGATCGAATTAATTATTGCTAACTAATCGTTTTATCATCAGATTATCATATCTTACACACTCCCATGTTGGGGAGTACCTATTATAAACCCTTTTCATAAAATCATAAAGTAATGATTATCTGGTGAGAGGTGAAAATTAATTGAAACATAACAACATCTAAGACTTTCATATAGTTCAAAACCAGTTTTAACATTTTACTCATAATTTTCATATTTTTAAAATAACGTTTCGTTTCTCCATGTGCAATATCTAACACAACTACAAATAGATAGGCGATAATGAGTACAGAAGACGATAAAATAATCATAATGTCGTATAAATAGTGTATATGAGATTTTTAACTTGGACGTTTTCGGATCGTTACTCTTTGTAATTAAACAAAAATATACGAAAAGCAGCTACTGGCAGTAGTAAATGGCTACATGTATCATTACAGACCGTCGAAAAAAAAATTATAGACCACATGTCGAGCGACATATTACCATAGTTTACCCCCCCCCCCCCCCTAAAAAAAACTCCATGTTCAAATGCCCGATCTATGAAGTTATATTCCATATAGACATTCTTTCAAAAAAACAAGTATGATAGACAGGCAAAATTAGCAGTTATATCCGTTAATAATAATAATACATTCAGGATACATGGCCGTAGGAACCGGGGGGGGGGGGTGGCCATGCCCCCCCCCCATAATTTTGCCGATATATAGAATACTATATAAATCAAAGCTACTATATGTTTGTGCCCCGTCAATAAAAACGTCTGATCCCCCCTTTTTTTGCTTGTCAAGGAATGTTGGTAGTTGATAGTGCCCCCAACTGAAAATGTATGGCTGTGCACCCCCCCCCCCCCCCCCCAACTGAAATTGCTACCTACGGGCCTGGGATCTATACTAAATTTATGCAACGACCGAGTCACGAAAAATCAATCTTTTTTAAATTAAATTTTTATCAAGGAGATTGAAAAAAAATGAAAACTTGTATATCATTTTTTTTCATACTATATAGATATACAAGGACTAATATAATTGGCATTGTTATTTATTTCTTTTTACTACTTTCTTGTTAAAATGGCAGCAGTAACTGGTCGAACTGTCCCACGTATTTAATGAGTGAGGATGAGAATCCCGAAACCCCCCTCCCCCACTAACCCCTGTCTTTTTTTTTTTTTTTTTTTTTTTTTTTTTTTTGTAAATGTAATAGGTTTTTTTTTTGGCTTCTTATTCTATATACGGTAAAAGACATCCCCTCCCCCCCCTTTCCTTGCTTCTGTTTGTTTGAATTTCATTCCCATTGCTTCAAATTCTTTTGAAATAATATATTTAGACAGAAAATGACTTATATTGATTTACTGGGTCGAGCGAAATGCATGAAACCTGCAGAACACCAGAACAAATAGATAAAAGATAAAAGTAACACTCTCTAAAATTATTTATGCACAAATAATTTAAAAATTTAGAAATTAAAAAAACGCTCCTAAAAAGAACAAATCATGACAAGGCCAATGATCTTATACATGTATCTACGCAATTTTTCTGACTGTGAATGCTCTAATCCCCCTTTATGAATTTACACTACTACATGTATAAACATGCTTGCTAATCTTGGTTGCCCTCTCTCCCTTGGGCCTGTTACATTTAAGCGGAGTAACTCAAAATAGAAAGAAATAGCAAGTAGCCTCCCTTTGACATTTATTTTCATGTGTTGGCTAGGTCACAGCATGCATGCGATACTGAAATTACTTAAAACCATAAAGAGTTGTCACTGCCTTGATTGTAAGTTATTCGTTTTTACAATATACGGCATTTTTCTTATAGAGGCCTATCACAAAAATTACACGCGATCATTGTTTATTTGATTTGTCAACTCGAATTTTATAGGTTCAGTACTTCGTAACATAATTTATGTTCAGAGGTCTCGGATCAGTAAAGGTTTTCAGTAATAAATATCAATTAATCTTTTGTCTGAAAATGCCACCGGCGATTTCTAAAACGCATGTTGGGCATGGGTTATAATTATAATACATGTAGTTATAATTGACTGTTTCACGATAACTGCGGTACTGCTCTTTTGCAGGGCAAAATAATATATTTTGGTGAAATATGACGTAAAAGCAATTGTTTGTTATACGTCATTTAATTATCTGTCATCAAAAACTTCGCCAAACGTTATTAATTTGCCCTGCTAAAGAGTAGTACCGCAGTTATACTGAAAGGGCTAATAGACTCTATTGCGTAACATTAACCATTTGTATGCTGTCGATCATATGCTGTAGATGCAGACTTCACGAGTCGACATTTATGTTTTGTAAGGTGGCAAAACAATCATTATAAACACGTCTTGGTAGTTGCATCCGATATAATTTGTTTAATATTCTAGGCTATTCCGACACGGCCACTCAGGAGAAAATAAAGATGTAACCTACATGTTTCTCGGGTGATCTCCCTTTGATTACATAGTGACCATGGTGACGAGGAGCCGGGAGTTGGAAAACAAATTCAAAGCATAAATAAATAGGCTGTCAGAGGAAAAGAGAACACATTATTTTTTTTTTAACATTTCAGCATAATGATGAGTTAAATATAGATCAGCTACTTGAAGGAAAAGTCTTGGGTCAGGACTGAGGCACGTAGGCCTAGATGTAGTACACAAAATGTCGACATTATCGCATCTATGCAGTCATGCTCAGCGAGAGTTTTTCGTACTTTTTTGCACCACAACACAAAATAACTTATAATAAATATAACATTCGCATTTCGAAACTTTTTAATATTTACAAAAACAATATAAAATCTTTTTCTTTCCTATTAATGTAGGATAATCCCCGCTTTTTTCACTGTGTGAGTCGGTGCTAAGATATTTGAATCGAACGAAAAGTATTAATTTCGA